CGGCGGCAGCGCCTTCCGTGAGGGGGGCACACCCCGGAGAGGCGCGACGCCTCTAATTTGGACATGGCACCACACCACCCCGCATGTATGAGGGCCCGGTGCGACGCTCTGGTGGTATTGCTATCCCCCAGGGCCCCCGTCCCGCCTCTTCAGACATGGCACCACACCGCCCCGCATGTATGAGGGCCCGGTTAGACGGGAAGGTGTACCTGGGGTTAGCAATGCCACTAGGTGTTGCTTTGGGCCCTCCTACGGTTGTGGCTAGCGCAGGCACCCGACACGCAGCTCCGGGGTGTGCCCCCCATCTCCGGCGTCGCTGTGGGGCACGGCGGCAGCAACGTCTGTGAGGGGGGCAATCGATATACCATCTGGGTATGTTTTTTTGTTAGATAAGGCACATTTATGTTGTGAAAAAACAGGAAAAAGTAAATAATATAAATAAAAAAAATAAAAAAATAGAGGTATGCCGACGGCCTTGCCGTCGGCATACCTGCGCACACGGCCACGGATCGATGACGTGCCTAAGGGCGGGGATCGATGACGTGGCAACATCCATGGGCCAGGCCTATGCCGACGGCTAGGCTGTCGGCATAGATTTGCCACCCCACGGGCAGGCGAGCGACGCGGATCGATGACGTGGTGGGCAACGCGGATCGATGACGTGGCGTCTATGCCGACGGCCGCCGTTAGCCCGTCGGCGTAGACTGACGCCGTCAAAAGGCCGTCTCCGAACGGGTAGCCGGGCCCATGTGCTAGGCCGACGGCCACCGTAGGCATATTGCTCGCGACGCCGACGACTGAGCTTTGCCGACAGGGGCCGTCGGCATAGATTGATATATGCCGACGGCTTTTCTATGCCGATGGCCTGGGCTGGGCCTTCGGGATAGGCCAATCTATGCCAACGGGGGCCGTCGGCATAGGTTCGGCCGTCGGCATCGCCAGTTATTCTGGTAGTGAAGAGAGCCCAATGCCTGAGATTGTTTCGATATCCTTGATTTCAGCATACAAAATACGCATTCAATTCTTCAGGGGCCTTTGCTGTTTGACAATGGAGGTACAAGTTGGAGAAGGACAGCAGCGGTGTGATGTGCCCCAACAAATGTTAAAGCTGGATATAGTGCATTCTCCTTCTGTTTCCCCAAGATGCATCTGAATGCCTGTCGTCGGACCGTGAGCTCCAAGACCATGCCTTAAGGAAGACACTGTCTTGGAGCTCATGGCTTCACCTCTTCGTGGTATCTTCACCGTGAAGGGCTCCGGCGGCTCCGTAGTGTTGCTTACAATCATTGTTTAGTCTACTTCGAGTCGTTCGGTGTGTTGTTGTTGTAGGTCCTTGGCACCTATGTATCTGGCTTTGGGTGTGTGTTGGTGTGGCGTGTTGTCGTTTGTATCGGCTCGGATGTTGGTTGGTGCTTTATATATAAAGTGGGGCGATAGCCTTTTTCGGTAATGCCTGTCGTATTTGCGCCAAGAGAAAAAACTTGAAACATATATTTTGTATTAAAAGAAGCACCAAGAAAACGCAGCAATGGCCCAATAACAAGAGCAATCAAAATCATTGCTAGTGTAATTCACTAAATCTCTTATAAACATGGATCTCATCAACACAATGCATATGCTAGTAATTCACTCCATATCTCAGGGTAATAAATACCAGTGTACACATATAAGCAAGCATAATCCCAACCGAGAAACTAATACAATCATGATGCCTGAAATATTGACTTATTATAGTAGCAATCTAACTAGCCTGTAAATACAGGTTGTAGCAACAGTTCACAAAAGAGGGAAAGAAATTATCTATTATTGATAAGCTCAATAGCCTCATCTAGCGTGGTAGGCTAGCAGATGACAAGAACTCTGCCTCCATGCTATAGCGTCGTTGGCTACCTCCTGGTTGTGCGAACGATTGCCGAGCAGATCTAGTCCTTCGAGTTAATGACCTTGGTTGCATTTGTTCTCCATTTCTCAGATCAGGCTGAGCTGAGTTCATCCGTTTTGTCCACAGAGTCTGCAGTTCCGTCTCCACTTGTTTCATGGTGGGTCTCTCTTCACCACGCAGACTTAAGCACCGCTCTGCAAGAGAGGCGACAGTGTTGATCTCTTCCTCGATTGCCTCCTCAAGGACGTGGGAGTTAACAATGCCAGTGATTCTTCCCTCACTAAACTCCTCAAGAAAATAGTTTGACAAGCTCTTTATCGTGCCTGATTCACTTGTAAATACAGGCTTCATTTTGAGAAGTAACTCCACTAGTACCACACCAAAACTGTAGACGTCGCTCTTCCCGTTCAGCTGCCTGGTATGGAAATACTCTGGATCTAAGTACCCAAATGTACCTTGCACATTCGTGACAATGTGTGTCTGGTCAATCGGAACCAATCTGGACGCGCCAAAATCTGAAACTTTGGCTGTGTAGTTCACATCTAAGAGTATATTTGAGGACTTCACATCACGATGGAAGATTGATATAGAAGCTGAAGAGTGGAGATAAGATAGAGCTCCTGCTGTTTCGATTGCAATCCTTAAGCAATCGCCCCAGGACAAAGAAAAACCATCACTTGCATCTGCATGAAGAACTCCAGACAGTGAGCCGTTGGATACATAATCATACACCAGTAGTGGAACCTCGGTTTCAAGGCAACATCCAAAGAGCTTCACAATATTTCTGTGATTTATCTGTGAGAGGACTGCGACCTCATTAATGAATTGACTGATCTCACACTGCTCAATGATCTTAGACTTTTTTATTGCAACAACACGCTGATCAGACAATATGCCTTTGTAAACCATGCCATGGCCCCCACGGCCGATGATACGTGTAGGATCAAAGTTGTTTGTTGCCTTCTCTAGCTCTACTAACGGAAAAATCTTAGTATTCTCATTTGCAGTTTCATCTGATGATATCAACATTTCTAGTAGAAGACCTTGGTTCTTCCGGAAATAATTCTTCCGTAGTTGCTTTTGAACATTTCTTTTCCATCTACGAATGAGAAGTGCTGCACTGAAGCTCAGAAATAGAGTGCCGAAACCACAAGACAACCCAATAATTATACCTGTAGGCATAAAACTCTTTTAAGTTTCCGTTCTATCTTGTTTAGGAAAAAATGTAACAATAGTAGTCTTACCTAAGAGCAGAGGTTGTTGCCTCTTAGTACATTGCATTTTTAGTGGATCATACTCAGTCTTGCGAGGACATTCAGTACAAGTAAAACTTCCTTTGGTATTATAGCAGATCCCTTTACATTTGTTCAGTTGAAGGCATTCATTGATATCTGAAATTAACAAAATTCTAATAAGGCACGTCGATAAATCTATGACATGGAAACCGGAAGACTATTCAGCATTTAGTTAATATCAAAGGTAGGTCGGTCAATTAAATTAAGCCGACACGAAGGACAAAACAAACTAGAATTAGGAAAAAATATCACCGTCTAATAATAATAAGCAATTTTTTAAAATAGCACATGTTTTTATACATCTGTAAAACTATCTTTTAGGCAGTTAACAGATAGCTAGTAGTGCATTTTTAAGCCTACAGAGGGGGCGATACCTTGACAACCGGTTTGGATGTATGGATTTCCTTGGAAGCCATCTGAACATTTGCAACGGTAACCAACATAGACTGTATCAATAGAATCGAGGTCTTTAACACTTACTTCCACGCACTTGCTGTTAATACTCACGCAAGCATATCTAGACCTATTCTGTTGGGCCTCTGCACAACTTCGATTAGCAGCAACCCATTGGGCAGAGGAGAATGACCCAGGAATAGGAAAAACAAAATTTTCAGTCATGCTGTATATCCCCTGTTGGTCAAGACTGGTGACATTAACGGTCCCTTCGTCAATATTTATGCCGATGACCTGTTTCGCCTCCAACAAGATCAGGGCAGCTGATGACGTCGTATTTGTGCAGTTGAGGTGGAAATCTTCACTTGCAAAGCAACCCTCTTCTAAGCCAAATGGGAATTGCACACTAGCGTTACCACACCAATGGGTGCAATCAGCCCTGCTCGGAATTGGATTATACCCTAGTTTGATCAGTCAAAAGTTAGCATGTACTATCAATGCACAAAATTCTTAATATATGTTTAGTTGCCAGATTAGAAAAAGATGATTTACCTCTGTCGTCGAGCTTGGAGCAACCATCTGGAATGTAGGGATTGCCTGTATAGCCATAGTTGCACATGCAGATGTAGCCATGGCTTCCGTCAAAGCACTCGGAATGCTCGCTGATACAGGCATAGTCTGCCATGTTTTTCTTGGCAGCAACACAGTTGGATTGGTCGACTATCTGCCACCATAGCAGAAGGCCACTCGGCCCATCACTAGCTATGCTGATTCTATCCCACAGCTTAGAGGTGTGGTTAGAGAGTGCACCAATGTTGCTTTTACTATGGTTATTGACAAGTTTGAGGTGAAAACTAGTGTTACCCTCCATATAAAGATGACAGCATCCGGAAGTACTTTCACAGTTGTGCATAGCCACCATCTCTGGAATTCCTGGATCCAGGCACACAGTGCTGCATATCAACCTGGTGGCATCGTCTTCGACAGAGTATATCCCCAGGTCACAGCCAGTAATGTTTAGAATAATTGTCTCACGCGAGAAGGATTTCCCAGGCAGTTCCAAAGACAAGTTGTAGACACTGACACCAGGTTGCATGGGGATGGTATGCGAGAAGAAGGCCGCGATGGAGTTACTACCTGAAAAAGATTCTTCAAAGCCAATCACCTGGGTGATGCCATCACGCAGATACAGTCTAGGGGGATGCACGGTTTCGTTGCAGGTGAGGTTGAAGTCGGGCCCTCGGGAACACCTGGATCCGATGCCGAAGGGGTAGCCGATGCTCACATTGCCACAACTCTTTGGGCAACCGTGGAGCATGCCATGTGAATGCTCCCAGTCTCCTGCAGGGTTGTAACTTGTTACACCTCTAGATGCTAACGCAACTGGCTTTCCTAGTGACTCGAGTGCCAACAAAGGGAGTAGGACATAGATCACTGGCAAATTACTCATGATCCACACCCCTTTTCACAGCTCCCAATTGCACTTGAGATTCGGTTTAGACATCAGTGTATGTATTTGAGGATTTCACAGTGTTGTGCCTTCTCTTATATGGCTTGCTAGTGGAAACATATGGTGACACTTGTCCCAACTAACAAGACACGGCAGAGAACAAGAAAGGTACGCACTAGGACTCCAGACGACGTGGACGTGCTTGATTTGGCCACACTCCACAACTTACTTGTGGAAGTTTACGTGGTTGATTTGGCCACACTCAAATACTTGTTGCCGGTCCCATAACATTGACCTCAAAAGTCAGTCTAAGTTGGCTGGACCACAGAGTGCGCAACCCGCATGAGACGGTTAGTATCCATTTGATAAAAAGAAAACTTAAAACTAACATTGAGCAAATGAATGGGTCTGAATTGTCGCTAACTGCCTCTTCCTTCTTGGGCAGGACAGTGATTGTCCCAAAGTTAAGTTTAAAAGGCTGAAGCTGGTCATTAAACAGATCCTGCAACATGGGCATCAGATCTCCCTTAACGATCTTCCAACACTGCCCATGTGCTTTATTATGTTTCATTCTCATCCGCCCCATGTTGTGGGATATCCATGACCGGTCCTTCATCTAGGGACAAAATTATCTAACAAGGCCACAAATAGCTTCTCAGTGGCTTGTTAGTGAAAATATATGGCGACAATTGACCCAACTAAGCACATCTTCAACGCCAACCCGCAAACGGACACGGTATTTGTCCAAAAATTAGTCTGGACTGGTGCCGGAACATGGATATGGGAGCCATCCATCCAGCCCTATACCTTAAATATCTGTTTTTATTAACATAAAAAAGTAGCAACTCCATAAGCAACAACCTTCCGCCAGATCCTTCCGTCAAATTAGCCGCAAGCTTGTGATAAAATTCTTCGTATTAATAAAGCTAGCGACATGAAGCCTTCCGCCATCGTGTTCTACTTGATTAGCAACATTGCACCATATAACACTAGCTAAGTTTTTTGTTTTTATTTCACAAATTAGCAGCCATACTGCACTAGCTTTAGGATTTTTTTAATTCCACAAATTAGTAGTCCTTTGTCAACTTAGCAACCTTTGATTCACTCAGAGGTGATATATGCTGGACTTTGATTCACTCTGTAGAAGTCTGGACTCCCGCAAAGCCTCCTTTTATTTGTCTCCGATTTATGGGAAAACAGACGTCCGGACGTGTCGACGGACCGATGTGAGACTGCGTTGGATGGCAAACTACGTTTGGACAGCATGGTCCAGACGCCTGCAGCAGGTTTGAGCATCCTCTTTGGAGATGCCCTAACACGACATGGCAGATTCTGGCCCGTTTCGTAGACTTTGACCGACATGGTTAATTTGGCCACACTCCACTACTTACTTGCGTGTTGGATTTCTAGCGGTGATCGACTCTCTCTCTCTCTCTCTCTATCTGAATTTCTTTCTCTGAAGAACACAACACACACACACACAAGGTGGAAGGGAACAGAGAAGGAACACAGCCACACAGAGAGATTTTTGCGACACGTTAACCGTGCGTCTTTTCTATTCTTCCCTTTATTCAGTTGTTTAACAGAAAACGAAAAACTCGCCACGATCCAGTATATACGCGCGCCATCCCACGAGCTTGGATCGTGCCAAGTCTAGAGCTACCAGCTAGGCCTGAAAACTAGGAACTGAAACTACACCGCAACGTGAACGTAGCACGTTTCTGGTGGACAAATTCAGTCGTGCTTATTATGTGACAGAAAAACAAAATAAGCTAAGGGAAACGGGGCAGATACATTGAGATTACATCCAACATTGCGGACGTTCTTTTTTTATTTTTTTTTATTTTTTTTTTGAGGATCAACATTGTGGACGTTCAGGTGGTTGATTTGGCCACACTCCACTACTTGTTGCCGGTCGCACAGGAGTCAATGTCTGCCTTGTTGTGCACGTTAGTCTAATCTAGCCCATCAAAGGGGGCACTGACAAGTCTTTGAAATCGCATCGCATTGTTTGGTCAGTGCTTCGTGCTTGAGCTTGCGGTCTGCAGAGTAGACCGACCATACATACCCACAGCAGCGAGCCCTTGTTGTGCATGCAGAACTGCGGTATGGAAATGCCAATCGGGAGAATGCGGTAACTGAACTCCATATCCTCAGTCTAAGCAATTGTAGAGGGTAGAGTAAGCTGAAAATTAATTCTAACCGCCTGAAATAAACCATAGACGCACACAGAATCATGTAAAACAGTAGCAGGAAATGAGCGGCTGTACGTGGATTGCTTGCAACTGCATATAATCCGATGCGTGAGACAGATCGTTTGGCATGCATCCACTTGGTCATAGCCCTCCTCTGTCTGCTCCAAGGAGGCAAGGAGCCAAGGACACTGGAGGTCGGGGATCGAGAGGGCTTTAACCGAGCCGCTCGGTCGGACCGAGGGATCGTAGTCACCGCCGCCGCCGTTCCTCGTCGTCGTGGACACCGGCAGCCCCTGGGCGAACTACCATGTCCCCGAGCTTCCCCATTCCTTCCTTCCTCTCCTCCCCGTGCGCCGCATCTTCTTGCCGCCAGTCGCCATTGCTGTCGTGCGTAAACTGCTGCCGATCTGGAGCTCTCGAACATGACCTTGACCCCAACCGTGGCACCAATTCTTGCGGGTATTGCGGCTGCATGAGCATAAATCATGCCATGAAAGGAGCTGCAGGTCAAGATGTTTTCCTTACAACTGAAAGGAACGAAAGAGGTGGCATCGCCCACGTCCACCCGTACGTAGCTATGTTAACCGCTGCATGAGCTGAAATCGTGCCATGCCACGATCTCCCACAACCGCCTGATCTAACCTGAAACTAAGTCAAGAGGTGAGCATGCACACATTGCATGGCGAGTGATTTCTCCGGAAGTGGGCATGTACCGGGCATCAGCTCTGAACACGAACTGGGAGATTCAGAAAATTCAGTTTCGTCAGATTCAGAAAATTCAGTTCGTCAGTTTCATCCAAGATTCAACAGATGACTAAACTGCAGCTAACCAGGACCTAAACTGCAGCTAACTAGGAGCCAAACAACTAACTAGGACCTAAACAGCAGCCGGCAGAACTAGTGGCATTGGTCCACACGGTCCTCAGAAGCTTGACCGAGCCAGCACCCTTTCGGTCTAGTCCTGGAAAAGAAGCTCGCTGGACAGCTCGGTCCGGTCCAAACGCCGGCTCGGACCGGGACCGGACCGGACCGGACCGTGTCCAGGCTGACCTGACACACAGTGCCGCCCCCACCCCCCACACCCCCGCCTCTTCCCCCAGACACACTACACACCGTCGCCGATCAAAAGGAGCGGCGTGATAGAGAGAAGCGAGCAAGCGAGAGCGCCAACTTCTTCGAGTTTGTGCGACGGTGGAGAAGGCTGCGGAAAAATGGGCGCAACTTCCTAAGTCCCTAACACTTGTTTTGGTGCTCTTCAGTTCTGGTGATCTCAAAAACCACTTGTTGCCCTCAAAATCCAAATCAATCCCGAATCAGTCTCCAGCGGTCTGAATTTTTTGCTTCGGTATGCCCTCGGTTGCTAAAATTGGGGATGAGTTCAGTTACTGTTAGTAGCTCTTGTCAGTTAGCTTATCTTCCACTATGCTGGACTGAAGATTGCCAGACGGCTGCCGGGGTTGATGGGGGCGGCATCCACAATCGATTGAGCTTGTGCAGTACCGTTCCGCATTCAAACGATGCCCACCTGCCGGTGAGTTTCTGTGCAGACTGACATTTTTTTTATGCGGTAGCTTTGGCTTCTCTGCTCAAATGTTACCGCCAGTTTGCACGGCAAGGGCTTTCAGTTGTGCAGTTCTCCATCTGCTCTAAGCTTGGCATGAATTTCCTGTCATGATAGCAATGAACAAGTCACATCGTATCATTTGGCTTGTGGTTCATGGGAGAGAACCCAATGCCTGAGATTGTTTCGACATCCTCCATTTCAGCATACAAAATAAACATTCAGTTCTTTAGACGCCTTTGCTGTCTGACACTGGAGGTACAACTTGGAGAAGGACAGCCGCGGTGTGATGAACCCAACGAATTTTAGAGCTGGATATATAGTGCACTCTCCTTCTGTTTCCGCAACATGTATCTGAATGCCTGTCATATTTGCGCCGAGAGAAAAAACTTGAACCATATATTTGTAGTAAAAGAAGCGCCCAGAAAACACAGCAATGTACTAATGGCGGCAACGACAAGACAACATGAGTGCCAAAATCATTGCTAATATAATCCACTACATCTCTTCTAATCATCTCAGGGTAACAAAATTTAGTCTACATATATCAGCAAGCATAATTCCAACCGAGAAACTGATCAAACTATGATGCCTGAAATCATGACTTATTACAGTACCAACCTAACTAGCCTGTAATAGCCTCATCTAGCGTGGTAGGCTAGCAGATGACAAGAACTCTGCCTCCAAGCTATAGCGTCGTTGGCTACCACCTGGTTGTGAGGACAATTGCCGAGCAGATCTACTCCTTTGAGTTAACGACCTTGGTTGCATATGTTCTCCATTTCTCGGATCAGGCTGAGATGAGTTCATCCGTTTTGCCCGTAGAGTCTGCAGTTCTGTCTCAACCTGTTTCATGGTTGGTCTTTCTTCGCCGTGTAGCCTCAAGCACCGCTCTGCAAGAGAGGCAACACCATTGATCTCTTCCTCGGTTGCCTCCTCAAGCACCTGAGAATTAGCAATATCGGTGATTCTTCCCTCATTGAACTCCTGTAGGAAATAGTTTGACAAACTTTTGACGGTGCCTGATTCACTTGTAAATACAGGCTTCATTCTGAGAAGCAACTCAACTAGTACCACACCAAAACTGTACACGTCGCTCTTCCCGTTCAGCTGCCTGGTATGGAAATACTCTGGATCTAAGTACCCAAATGTACCTTGCACATTTGTAACAATGTGTGTTTGATCAATTGGAACCAACCTAGACGCACCAAAGTCGGAAACTTTAGCTGTGTAGTTCCCATCCAGCAATATATTTGAGGACTTTACGTCACGATGGAAGATTGATATTGAAGCTGCAGAGTGGAGATAGGATAGAGCTCCTGCTGTTTCCAGGGCAATCCTTAAGTAGTCACCCCAAGACAAAGAAAGACCATTGCTTGCATCTGCATGAAGAACTTGAGACAGTGAACCACTGGATACGTAGTCATACACCAGCAGTGGAACCTCGGTTTCGAGACAACATCCGAAAAGCTTCACAATATTTCTGTGGTTTATCTGAGTGAGGACTGCAACCTCATTGATGAATTGACTGATCTCACACTGCTCAATGACTTTCGACTTTTTTACTGCAACAACACGCTGATCAGACAATATGCCTTTGTAAACCATGCCATGGCCCCCACGGCCGATGATACGTGTAGGATCAAAGTTGTTTGTTGCCTTCTCCAGCTCTTCTAGCGAGAAAATCGTAGTATTCCCATTTGCGGTTTCATCATATGATAGCAAAGTTTCTAGGAGAAGACCTTGGTTCTTCCGGAAATAATTTTTCCGTAGCTGCTTTTGAACACTTCTTTTCCATCTACGAATGAAAAGTACTGCACTCAAGCTCAGAAGTAGAATGCCAAAACCACAAAACAGCCCAATAATTATACCTGCGGGCATTAAGTTGTTTTAGGTCCTCTTCTAGCTTGTCAATCGTAAAAATGTAACGATAATATAGTCTTACCTAAGAGTAGAGGCTGTTTTGTCCTGCCACAACTGAAGCTTCCTTTGGTATTATGGCAAATCTCTCTACATTTGTTTGGTTGAAGGCATTCATTAATATCTGAAATTAACAAAATCTTGATAAGACGTGTTGATAAAATATATAACATGGAACAAACCACATCATCACTCAGTTAACATAAAACAGTACATCAGCCAATTAAAAGAAACCTGGCGACAGGAATAATCAAATAAATTAGAAATAGCAAAACAAAATCACTAACAGTAACTTGCAATATATTTTAATAAAACACTCCTAATACATCTGTACAACTTTATTTTAGAGAGTTAAGAAATAGATAGTAACAATGGGGGAGCTAGGACTGTGAGAGTGAAGAGAGAAAGGATGGAGGGAGTACCTTGACAGCCACCTTGGATGTATGGATTTCCCTGGAAGCCCTGCGAGCATTTGCAGCGGTAACCAGCAGAGAACCATTCAGTGCTTACTTCTACACATGTGCTGTCAATACTGACACAAGCATATCTAGACCTATTCTTTTCGGCCTCTGCGCAACTTAGATTAGCAGCAACCCACAGCAAAGAGGAGAATCGTGACTGTAAATATGTAAAGAGTCCATCTGCAGCGTAACGGTCCTGCTGTAGCTGATTGGTGATGTTAATGGCCCCTTCATGAATATTTATGTCCCTGACCTGATCATTCCGCAACATGAGGTCAGCTGACGACGTCATATTTGTGCATTTGAGGTGGAACTGTTTGTGTGCAAAGCAACCCTCTTCTAAGCCAAATGGGAATGGCACACTAGTGTTACCACACTTACGGGTGCAATCAGCCCTGCTGATAATTGGATTATACCCTAGTTTGATCAGTGAAAAGTTAGCATGTATCAATGTGTAAAATATACTCCATCTGTCTGGAAATACTTGCCGGGGAAATGGATAAAAATGGATGCATCTACAACTAGTACGTCTAGATACATCCATTTCTCTAACAAATTATTTCTAGACGGATGGAGTACCTAACAGCCCCTGTAAATTTGGTCACCTGATTAGGAAGAAAGGTTACCTTCATCTTTCAAGCAGCCATGTAGAATGTATGGGTTGCCTGAATAGCCAGTGCTGCAGATGCAGCTGTAGCCAAGTCTTCTGTGGATGCACTCCGCATCTTTGATGTCACAGTAATTGGTTGTACTGTCGCTGCACTCAGCATGCTCGCTGATGCAGGCATAGCTTGTCCTGTTTTGCTTGGCAGCAACACAGGTGGATTGATCAACTATCTGCCAAGATAGCAGAAAGCCACCAGGCCCATCAGTAGTTATGCTTATTCTATCCCACAGTTGAGGGGTCTGGTTAGAGCGTGGATCAATGTTGCTTTTGCCATGGTTGTAGACAAATTGGAACTGAAAACCGACGTTATCATAGCCACTAACGGCAACGCGACAACATCCGAATGTATTTTTACAGTTGTGCATAGCCACCTTCTCTGGGGTTCTTGGATCCAGACACGCAGTGCGGCATATCAACGTGGTGAAATTGTCTACCACAGAGTATACCTCAAGGTCACAGCTGGTTATGTTTAGAACAAAGGACTCGAGATAGAAGGACCCCTCAGGTGGTTTCACAGAGAAGTTGTAAACACTGACACCAGATATCGTGTGGAAGGTAGGCGAGATGGAGGCCTTGATGTAGTTAAGATCATCAAAGCCGATCACCTGGGTGAAGCCATCATGCAGGAAGAGTCTGGGGGGGATGAGCGGTGTCGTTGCAAGTGAGGTTGAAGTCAGGACCCCGGGAACACCTGGATCCGATGCCGAAGGGGTAGCTGAAGCTCACGCTGCCACAGCTCGTCGGGCAGCCATCGAGCATGGCTCCGACACGGGATGGTTCCGCCCAGCTCCCCTCAGGGCTCTGTTGGCCTGTTACCACTCCGGATGCCAGAGCTGTTGGCTTTCCTAGTGACCTGAGTACCAACATAGAGAACAACATCGGCAAGATGCCCATGATCGATCCAACTTCTAACTACACCTTGCACTAGAGAAATTCAGGCTAGGCAGAGCAGTGCCTTCTCTTCTAGGTACCACTTTCATGCCTGCCTTTCTACTAGCATATATATCTATATATATCAACGGTTACAAACTTACAGTTGACCCAAGGAAGACTGGAAGAGGATTCGTGTGGATGGGGATGTGGTGTTCCTTGATGGCATGTGAAAGCCGATGATTAGGACCGTCTGTACATGCCCATGTGGATCTGGCAGTGGTGTGCTCAATACAATGTGAAGAAGATGACCATGACCTCGTACTGCGTGCCACAGGAAGAACTCAGCAAGTCAGTCCAGGGCCAGTCTATGCCCATTCCTAACAAAACCACGTTACACATTTCCTGTGCGGATTTTGTGGGTTTCCAAAGGTTTGCTCTGCAAAAAGAGAGAAAACAAATGAACATGCAGACTTGCATCATGTAAGTGGCGAACCTCACAAGAAATTCAACTGGTTGGGAATGACATCTTCGGTCTCCAGCTCCACTGGTACCTTGTTTTAAAGGAGGATAACCTCCGGCCTCTGCTTCAATCGATGGATGCAGCCATATTAATAAATAAAAACGTAACAAAGTCTCAATGTCCTGCAAAGCTCATAGTCCGACCTTAAAACAAAACACAAACGGAAAAATAACATATTCGATGATAAGAAATAGACTATGATGCCTACACACCTAGCCTATTATTAGCTTGCCATCCAAATCGATTAAAGATAGCCCGTGCTACCATCTCCTAACGGTTGCACCCAATGGCCAAAAGTTCCCTAAAGTCCGCATGAGTGAGTAACGACAACATACGGATCCAAGGTATAGCTTTGTAAATAACCTGCAAAAAATTAGTGAAGTTTGCTCCATTAAAAATCAAATCATTCCTAGTAATTCCATATAGCTCAAAATAAAGCACATATCCCTGTCCAAATATGTTTGGCTATGTGACTCTCCACTCCATTAAGCCACGTCCCAAATAACGTGTTTATGCTCATTGGAGGATGTACGTTAAAAGCAATATGTATCAATTGCAATAATAATTTCGCAAGTGGACATTTAAGAAAGAGGTGTTTAAGATTCATTTTGATCACAAAAGCAGCATCTAAAATTACCTACCCAGTTCCTTTTTTTCCAGATTATCTTTGGTGAGAATAACTCCTTTGTTAACGAACCATATAAAGATTTTAATTCGAAGTGGAACTTTAATCTTCCAAAAGTGCAATGACCTCGACAATGGCTCGGTACCAATTAAGTCCAGATACATAGAATTCACTGAGAAGGCTCCCCTCGAAGCTAACTTCGAGCGAATTGTATCAGCTTGATCTGATAGTTGAACCTCCATCAACCTACGGACCAGTTGCAACCAAGCATCCCAATGTTCTTCTACTAGGGATCTCCTAAAATGGACATTAAGCGGTACCGAGTTTAATACTATGGCGGCGTCCTCAACTGGCGTCCGTCCAACTACCCGCGCCCAGTGTGGTCAGCTTAATTTATGACCTTGGGCCCATGCGTCA